TACCTACCTACCTACCTACCTCCTTTCTGCTCCTCCTCCTCCTACTACGACCAGAACTACGAATACGACAACCATGACTACTATGCGACTACGACGACAACTGCTATTACGGCACGACCACGGCGGCAACATGCTGTATTTCTCCATGGATCTCCATACCTCCCGTCTCGGAGCTGGCAGTGTCCAGAGCTACCCACCTTGGATCAAGGGCGCTCAGCTTCGGTCCCTGGTAGGCTCCGGAAAATCGTGCGAAGCTTTCATGCAACTTGTCACATGGCAGGGTGTTTCAGCTCGACATTAACGCTTCAAGCAGTGGTCCCACTCAGCTGTACCCTAAACCCTAAACCCTAAACCCTAAAGAAGAAGAAGCTTTCATTCGCTCTTCAGGCTTATACGTCCTCATGCCTCCCTGTGAACCTCTGCTGAGCCTCTTTGAGAAGCCGATCTTCGCCCAGTCAGGTCGCATTGACCGGGTCCGGCCCGGTTACCCGGTCAGTTCGCCCGGTCGCCCGGTCAGTTCGTCCGTTCAGACCGGGAAATCGACCAGGCCCGGTTGACCGCGTCCGGTCGGCCCGGTCACCCGGTCAGTTCGCCCGGTCACCCGTTCAGGTTGGTCCGGTCGCCCGGTCAGTTCGTCCGTTCAGACCGGGAAATCGACCAGGCCCCGAGAACTCTGGGCCATAGGGTCAGGTATTAAAGGGGGGAGTGTCACGATGAGTCAGACTTCAATATATGAGCGCGCAACCCCAAAACCCGACGAGTGACCAGCTGTTGGCAACCTTGGATGCACTTTTTTCTGTCCTCGCGCAGCTCGAGTCGCATCGTAGAAACGAAGGGCTCAGCCCTGCAGAATCTCAAGGACTTCCTGCTCGAGGGTCGTTTCATGTGTGCTGACTTTTATCTTGTTTTAAAAAGGTGGTTTAGAGTGCTTAGGTTTTAGGCTTCTGCTAGACTGTTTTGGAGTCGAGGGTTCGGGCTTGGGGCAGTTCGTCTACACCTCGACCCTAAATAAAGTGTAGTACCCATTCTGGTTAGCTAAGTGTCTTGCCCTAGGACCCTAAACCATCGACTCGGTTATGCAAGAGAGCGTAAGCCCTAAACCCTAAACCCTAATCCCTGAAACTTAAACCCTAAAGCCTAAACCTTAAACCCTGAGGGATCTAAGATCCAGAGGCTGTCGCTTGGGCATCCCAGGCCTTAGCAAGTGCGTGGCAGGGCTCCTGTACAACAAGGGTTCCTCTAGGGTTTCTATTCGGGTTCCGCAAAGGGCCTATACTATAGGGCTTAGGGATTAGGTTTCCTTGAGTCTGGGTTTACAGGTTAAGATTTTGAGGATACGGTGCCATGAAGTTTTGGCGCAGCAATGCTCCGATGCTGACAGTAGGATCCTAAAGCACCCACTAGCTTGCCGACTTAAAACCCTACCAGTGCGTGTCAACGGAGCGAACCGTGCACCTCCATACGTTCCTAACCCTAATGTCTGACCTTTGAACCCGAACACAAATCCCCGTGCACCAAGAAGGAGGACAAACCCAAGACCTGGACGAAACCGATTCCAGAATTTGGCAACGACAAAAACATCCATACCAAGAGCTCATCCGTCAGATCTCTTTCAATCAGGGGAGCCTTGTTTCCTAAACCCTAAACCACAAAATCCAAAACTCTAGGTGTAATGTAGGGGCCTTAACAATTAGAATAGGGTTTGGCGTAAACTATACTATACGTATATTACGGAACCACCAAACCGATATTCTAATCACTGAGGCCCCCTACATTAGAGGTTCAGGGATCCGTCCCCAGGGCTGACCTGCTTGATCCATTGCCGCAGGTCTTTCATATTCCTCACCCATGAGAACTCGAGAACCTTGGAGCTCCGCACTGTATAGAGCTGACCATATGCTTCCATTACGATAACTTTAACCATGGAGGTCCCTAAGCCCTAAACCCTAAACCCAAAACCCACTCTAGAATCCCACAAAACGCTGCTAAAGCCCGAAAAAATGCAGTAACACATGCCTCAAAATGGAGAAACCTGAGAATTCACAGTCCACTAATGTAGCGGCCTTAATAATTAGAATGGGGTTTTGGGCTCCCTTATAGTATATTTATAATAAGGAACCCTAACAATAATATTGGTAATGATTCAGGCTTCTATATTACCTTCTGAAACCCAATGCCATCCACCCGCGCCTTTAGAGATTCGATCTCTTGCTTCCTCTGCTCCATCTTCTCCTCCTGGCGGAGCTTCTCAGGCTTAGGGTTTAGGGCTTTGGCGTTTAGGGTCCAGGGCTTTGGGGTTTGGTGGTTTAGGGTTTTGGGGCTGAAGGTTTCAAGATGCTAAACCCAAAACCGTAAACACTAAACCCTAAGCCCTAAGCCCTAAACCCTAAACCCTAAACCCAAACCCCTAGAAGCCCTGAAATCGCTGGAGTTCCAAACGTCCTAGAACCCGGCCCTGAAACCTTGAACCTCAGGGCCATTAGGGCTCAGGGTTACTAGGGTTATTGGGGCTATTGGGGTTATTAGGGTTTAGGGTT